GCATTCATCACATGAATGACAGTTGGTTCTTGATACATCGTCTCCTTGTAGACCTTAAGTTTCTCATGGAGGAACTGTATCTTGTTTAATGTGGAGCCCTCAAAACTTTCCACAGAGTATCTGCTACATAGTGGCTCTCGCTAAATTTATACTGAGTGACTTGATTTGTATTTTGTCTTGTCTCTGGGCATAAATGGTCCTATAAGAAGTTATGCTTAGAATTTGGGTGTTTTCAGCACTAAACCCACCAAATTATTTGTCTCCATGAGAAATAGAAGCATTTTTGCACCTTCTAAACTGTATCCTTTCAAACTTGTGAGCACTACATGCATGAAATGAATGTGACAATTTGAATAGAATTTATTGCAATTTATGATTATAATTTGTCATTATGTTTATAAAGGAGCCATTAGCTAAAAGGATATTTTCATAAACAAATATTATAATAAGGGCTAGCCTAATGTATATCAAGGATAATGTATATTTTAAAAATAGAAATTGCCTCTGATTTTTAATATGTACTATAAAATTCATCACGATTTAGAACTTTTCTTTGAAATCAATTTAAAAACTTATTTTTTTAAAAGTGTGTGTTTAAATATATAAAATTCAAATATGTACTAAAATATAAACCTGAAATTTAAATAGTTACTAGGATAGATACATAAAACAGCTTGCAACAGTGACAGATATAGAACAGCCCCAGTCTTGCCTTAGGTTATTTGTTATAAGTGGTGACAACATCTCAGGTTAAAAGTTGTTGTCACTGCTAGTCTTCTTATGTTATTTGTGGTTAGGCACATCTTTTTATATAGGTTTTGATCATATTAGTTAGTACAGTATGGATTATACTGCATTGACTACATTTAGTTTGTTGACTAATATGTAGATTTGTGGGGTTTTTTCTTGCACAATGTTAAGGTAAGTAAATGACTACATCCTACAGAAACATTGAGAAATCATTTTTAAGGAAGGTTTCCATTTCTATTTATATTTTAATTGAGTTTTTCATACATATTGTTTTATAGAAAATGAATTTTAAAAGGCCAGTCTATATTTAAAATAGACATTAATGTTAGCCATGGGTGTTGGCTTTCCATTTGAATGGCCTGACCAGTAGGCATCGTCTTTTGTTGTTTCTTTTTAAAAAAATATATGGTTTGCCTAGCAAATCTTTGGTAAAGAAATACATTTCTTAGCAGTACTATTTTAAGGATAGATTAGGCCATGGTTTTTGCTGCAACAGCCTCTTGTGCTATAGAGTCAGATATTCTACTTCCTTTTAGAAGCATTGATGCCAATATTTACTTTCAGTCCTGGTCTAACAAAATAAATATGTTGCCAGTGGAATGTCATGTGTCCTTTTGGCAAACTCCAAATAAAAAACAGAAATAGTGAATGAGAATGCCAACTTTAAAAAATACATATTTTATTATTGACTCATTGGTGAGGAACATTCCTACATAATCTTCTAAAATTTATAATGACCAAATGGTGATATTTGTATTGCCTGAGTGGTTTTGTACATGGACTTATATAACTTGGTATTCAATGTATGAACGCTTGTCAATGAAATAGTATAATTTTGTATGTGAGTATGTGGGTTTTTTTTTTTTTAACCAAAGAAAAAAGGACCTGGATATTCTTGTTAATTTTCTGTCTTTTTGATCTGTCTAATATTGACAGTGGAGTGTTAAAGTCTCCCACTATTACTGTGTGGGAGCCTAAGTCCCTTTGTAGGTCATTAACAATTTGCTTTATGTATCTAGTGCATACATAAAGCAAATTTTTATGTTTTATGGTGCAAACATAAAACAACTTGCTCCTGTATTGGGTGCATATATAGTTAGGATCGTTAGGTCTTCTTGTTGCATTGATCCTTTTACCATTATGTAATGTCCTTCTTTGTCTCTTTTGATCCTTATTGGTTTAAAGTCTATTTTATCAGAGACTAGGATTGCAACTCCTGCTTTTTTTTGCTCTCCAATTTCATGGTAAATCTTCCTCAATCCCGTTATTTTGAGCCTATATGTATCCTTGCACATGAGATGGGTTTCCTGGATATAGCACACCAATGGATTTTGACTTTTTATCCAATTTGCCAGTCTGTGTCTTTTGATTGGGGCATTTAACCCATTTACATTTAAGGTTAATATTGTTATGTGTGAATTTGATCCTGCAATTTTGATGCTAGCTGGTTATTTTGCCGGATAATTGATGCAGTTTCTTCATTGTGTTGATGCCCTTTAGCATTTGGTATGTTTTTGGAGTGGCTGGTACTGCTTCTTCCTTTCTATGTTTAGTGCTTCTTTCAGGAGCTCTTGTAAGGCAGGCCTGGTGGTGATGAAATCTCTGAGCAATTGCTTGTTTGTAAAGGATTTTATTTCTCCTTCACTTATGAAGCTTAGTTTCACTGGATATGAAATTCTAGATTGAAAGTTCTTTTCTTTAAGGATGTTGAATATTGGCCCCCACTCTCTTCTGACCTGTAGGGTTTCTGCCAAGAGATCCCCTGTGAGAATGATGGGCTTCCCTTTGTGGGTAACCTGCCCTTTCTCTCTGGCTGCCTTTAGCATTTTCTCCTTCATTTCAACCCTGGTGAATCTGACAATTGTATGCCTTGGGGTTGCTCTTCTTGAGGAATATCGTTGTGGACCAAGCAAACCTAATAGACATTTACACAACTCTCCACCACAGATCCACAGAATATACATTCTTTTTAACACCACGTTACACCTACTCTAAAAAGGACCACATAATTGGAAGTAAATCACTCCTTAGGAAATGCAAAAGAACAGAAATCATAACAAACAGTCTTTCAGACCACAGTGCAATCAAATTAGAATTCACGGTTAAGAAACTAACTCAGAACCATACAACTTCATGGAAACTGAACAACTGGCTCTTGAATGTTGACTGGATGAAATGAAATGAAGGCAGAAGTAAAGATGTTCTTTGAAACCAATGAGAACGAAGACACAACATACCAGAATCTCTGGGACACATGTAAAGCAGAGTCTAGAGGAAAATTTATAGCAGTAAATGCCCATATGAGAAGCAAGGAAAGATCTAAAATCTACACCCTATCATCAAAATTGAAAGAGCTAGAGGAGCAAGATCAAAAAAAAATCAAAAGCTAGCAGAAGACAAGAAATAACTAAGATCAGAGAAGAACTGAAGGAGCCAGAGACACAAAAAGCCCTTCAAAAAATCAATAAATCCAGGAGCTGGTTTTTTGAAAAGATCAACAAAATAGACAGACCACTAGCCAGATTAATAAAAAAGAAAAGAGAGAAGAATCAAATAGATGCAATAAGAAACGAAAAAGGGGATGTCACCACCAATTCCACAGAAATACAAACCACAATCAGAGATTACTACAAACAACTCTATGCACATAAACCAGTAAGCCAGGAAGAAATGGATAAATTCCTGGACACTTGCACCCTCCCAAGACTAAACCAGGAAGAAACCGAAACCTTGAATAGACGAATAACAAGGGCTGAAGTTGAGGCAACAATTAATAGCCTACCAACCAAAAAAAGCCCATGTACAGATGGGTTCACAGCTGAATTCTACCAGACACACAAAGAGGAGCTGGTACCACTCCTTCTGAAACTATTCCAAATAATACAAAAAGAGGGAATCCTTCCCAGATCATTTTATGAGACCAACATCATCCTGATAACAAAACCCGTCAGAGACTCAACAAGAAAAGAAAACTTCAGGCCAATATCCATGATGAACATAGATGCAAAAATCTTCAATAAAATACTAGCAAACTGATTGCAACAGCACATCAAAAAGCTTATCCATCACGATCAAGTAGGCTTCATCCCAGGAATGTAAGGCTTTTTTAACATATGCAAGTCTATAAACGTAATTCACCACATAAACAGAACCAAAGACAAAAACCACATGATTATCTCGATTGCAGAGAAGGCATTCAACAAAATTCAACAGCTCTTTATGCTAAAAACTCTGAATAAACTAGGTATCGACAGGACATATCTCAAAATAATAAAAGCTATTTACGACAAACCCACAGCCAATATCATACTGAATGGGCAGAAACTGGAAGCATTCCCTTTGAAATCTGGCACTAAACAAGGATGCCCTCTGTCACAACTCCTATTCAATATAGTATTGGAATTTGTAGCCAGAACAATCAGGCAAGAAAAAGAAATAAAAGAAATTCAATTAGGAAAGGAGGAAGTCAAATTATAGCTATTTGCAGATGGCATGATTGTATATTTAGAAGACCCCATCATCTCAGCCCAAAATCTCCTGAAACTGATAAGCAACTTCAGCAAAGTTTCAGCATACAAAATCAATGTTCAAAAATCACAAGCATTCCTATACACCAATAACATACTTAAAGAGAGCCAAATCAAGAATGAACTGCCATTCACACTTGCTACAAAGAGAATAAAATACCTAGGAATATGACTAACAAAGGATGTAAAGGACCTCTTCAATGAGAACTATAAGCCACTGCTCAAGGAAATAAGAGAGGACACAAACAGATGGGAAAACATTCCATGCTTATGGTTAGGAAGAATCAATATTGTGAAAAAGGCCATACTGTCCAAAGTAATTTATAGATTCAAAGCTATCCCCATTAGGCTACCTATGACCCTCTTAACAGAACTAGAGAAAACCCCCTTTAAACTTCATATGGAACCAAAAGAGAGCCCACATAACCAAGACAATCCTAAGCAAAAAGAACAAAGCTGGAAGCATCACGCTACCTGATTTCAAACTACTACAAAACTACAGTAATCAAAACAGCATGGTACTAGTACCAAAACAGAGATGTAGACCAATGGAACAGAACAGAGGCCTCAGAGGCAACACCACACATCTACAACCATGTGATCTTTGACAAACCTGACAAAAAGAAGCAATGGGGAAAGGATTCCCTGTTTAATAAATGGTGTTGGGAAAACTGACTAGCAGTGTGCAGAAAGCAGAAACTGGACCCCTTCCTGACCCCTTACACTAAAATTAACTCCAGATGGATTAACGACTTAAACATAAGACTTAACACCATAAAAACCCTAGAAGAAAACCTAGGCAAAACGATTCAGGACATAGGCATAGGCAAGGGCTTCATGACTAAAACACCAAAAGCACTGGCAACAAAAGCCAAATAGACAAATGGGACCTAACTAAACTCCAGAGCTTCTGTACAACCAAAGAAACAATCATTAGAGTGAACTGGCACCCAACAGAGGGGAAAAAATTTTTGCAATCTACCCATCTGATGAAGGGCTAATATCCAGAATCTACAAAGAACTGAAACAGATTTACAAGAAAAAAACAAACCCATCCAAAAGTGGGAGAAGAAGATATAACCTGCCTGTAATCCCAGTTACTCAGGAGGCTGGAGAAGGAGTTTCGCTCTTGTTACCCAGGCTGGAGTGCAATGGCGCGATCTCGGCTCACCACAACCTCCACCTCCTGGGTTCAGGCAATTCTCCTGCCTCAGCCTCCTGAGTAACTGGGATTACAGGCACGCGCCACCATGCCCAGCTAATTTTTTGTAGTTTTAGTAGAGACGGGGTTTCACCATGTTGACCAGGATGGTCTCAATCTCTTGACCTCGTGATCCACCCGCCTCGGCCTCCCAAAGTGCTGGGATTACAGGCGTGAGCCACCGCGCCCGGCCGAACAGACACTTTTACAAAGAAGACATCTATGAGACCAACAAACATATGAAAAAGTCCTCATCATCACTGATTATTAGAGAAATGCAAATCAAAACCACATTGAGTTACCATCTCACCCCAGTTAGAATGGCGATCATTAAAAAACCTGGAGACAACAGATGCTAGAGATGATGTGGAGAAATAGGAACAATTTTACACTGTTGTTGGGAGTGTAAACTAGTTCAACTATTGTGGAAGACAGTGTGGTGATTCCTCAAGGACCTAGAAATAGAATTTCCATTTGACCCAGCAATTCCATTACTGGGTATATACCCAAAGGCTTATAAATTGTTCTATTATAAAGACGCATGTGCATGTATGTTCACTGCGGCACTGTTTACAATAGCAAAGACCTGGAACCAGCCCAAATGCCCATCAGTGATAGACTGGACAAGGAAAACGTGGCACATATACACCATGGAATACTATTCAGCAATAAAAAAAAAAACAAAACGATGCGTTCATTTCCTTTGTAGGGCCATGGATGAATCTGGAAACCATCATTCTCAGCAAACTGACACAAGAACAGAAAATCAAACACCACATGTTCTGACTCATAGGTGGGTGTTGAACAATGGACACATTTGACACAGGGAGGGGAGCATCATACAGTGGGGTATGTTGGTGGGGACTAGGGTAGGGACTGTGGGGGGTAGGGAGTTGGGGAGGGATAAGATGGGGAGAAATGCCAGATATAGGTGACAGGGGGATGGAGGCAGCAAACCACATTGCCATGTATGTCCCTATGCAACAATCCTGTATGTTCTTCACATAGACCCCAGAATCTAAAGTGCAATAAAATATATTTTTAAAAAAAGAAAAAAATGGACCAAATATAAGTGTTAGCCAAAATTTTAATATTTCTAAATTTACATGGGTCCAAATTTCCAAACAGGAATTGTAATTCTTCTTTGCTTACCTCATAATTTTTACTGCCCTAATCAACTTGATCTCATACTATTGTAAGTAACTTTATAGGAAATGAGGAAACATTGTGGTTTCAAGTCCAGTAACAATAATGTTACTTAGGTTTTAATGAAATATCTTTCACAATATGAGAGCCTGCATAATATGGAATATCCAATTCATTAAACACTAGCAGAGGATCATCTGTGAGCCGTGAACTCTCTGGCATGACTACTGCTCGACTTTAAAAGAGAATCCTAACCAGGACATTTTAGTATGGCACGTCAGTGATAAAAAAACTTCTCAACTTGTGCCATGAGAGCTCAGAGAAGGGGCCACTTTGTTCATCCCAAGGTGACTTGGGGTAGATGATACGAAAGCTGAAGGATTTGTAGATATTTTTAACAGGTGAAGAGAGAGAGGAGGGGAAAGGAAGTACTTGCTGGAATTGTGTCCTGATAAAGCAAGCAGCACTGGTAAAAGCAGGCAGCTCTGACAGAATGTTATGTGTGGATGGAGAAAGAGAATGAAACAGCAGTTTAAGAGGACTGGTGGGTAATGCAAATTTGAGGATTCGTGGGGGATGAGGCTTGACTGGTAAACAAGAGCTAAGTCATCAAGTGCCAGATATCAAAGAAGTTTATACAGTGAAGATTTAGGGAAAAGAAGCGATATATAGAAGGGATCAGTTATCCAAAAATTAGTCACTTATCTAAGAATGTATCCAGCTCACCTAATGGAGCTAGCTCACTTACGGAGCTAGATACGTTCAAATAGTTTCTATAAATCAAATTCCTTTTCTTAGTTCAGTTCTTTTAGTGATGCCCAAATTAATAAATTTCACTAGGGAAAATATCAGCTTTTCTTGAAGCAATATAATTCTACCTGGAAATCAGCATATATTTTAAAATCACAAATTGTAAGAAAAAATACCATTTTGCTTATGTGCCAAATTTTAGGTAAGTGATTATGCTGAAGTATGGAAAACAGTATGATTCAATAAACATTTTATTAAAATTGACAACACAATTTCGTAAAATATATTTTAATAATTGTTCATTTCTATGTATTAATTAGGCATGTTTCCTAATTGATGAACAGAAATAAAATCACTCTCTCTGACAGGCATATACTTGAAAATCCTTTACTGTATATTGGTTTAGAGAAAAATTGATGTCAATTTGCTGTTCAAATAAATTTGACCCCCTAAAATCTGAAAACTTAATGGACTATTTAGTGGACATAAAATGAATGGTCTGTAAGAGCAGAGACACAAAGTTGAAACAGTGAAGAGAAGCATGAAGGCCTCTACCTTTAGATTTTTACTTTACTCACTTTGTTTTATTTTCCTTCTTCACATAAATTGTTATAAATTTTCCACTTGCTAGAAGGGACTTCTCAAGCACTGCAGGGCAGCTTAGTTTATTTTCTTCATGGGTAAATCTGTATGTAATCATTTTAGCAGGTGAGAGAATTCAAGGAAGTGGTAGCTTGCTAGGAAATGAGTTCGCAGGGCTGTGAATGTTTTTTCATTAGTGGTACGATTTCCCAAATATCCCATTTCATTTTTGTGTAAAAGGTACTTTTCCATCTCATCATGCCTACGTTGAGTTACTTTGCCCACTAGGGGGCACTCTTTTCAAGCTCTTTTTACCAGGGTGTCCAGATGACTTGCCACAATAAAAATCTGTAGGCATTTACTCATCTTTTGTGTTTTTATTACTAAGCTAAGGTTTTGTACCTAGCTTCTTTTGCAAGTAGAAATGCAAAAGAAGCTAGGTACAAAACAAATAAACAAAAACAACTTCCAAATGTTTTGGTTGGTACCTATTTTTCAAGGTACTAGTTTGTAGAGAGATGCCTTTTAGAAAAACACAACGTGTTCAATATCAAGTGTTCACTAAAAGTTCTACTATAATCTTTAAAATAGTAATTTTGTCTCTGATTTTTTTTCAAATGTAAAAACATATGTATCTCTAAGTGTAGCTTAGTTGTGAACAATTGAGAATATTAAGTCACCATAGAATGCATTGCCACAAAAAACAAACAGTGGTTGTGTCAGGAAAAGCTTTCAGATTAAAAAAATCAGAGAATATAGGATTGCCGTGAGCTCTGTGTGTGTGTGTGTGTGTACTTACACATAGTAGACACACATACTTATATGTATACATGTGAAAACACAGAGAGCAAGAAGACTATACAAAAAGGACACCTGCTCAGTGGCATGCGACAGTCAGTCTTGTCACTCACTGTGCTGGTCACACATTAATATGCAGGCCTCACGTATACAATTATACATATAAAGTTAGAGTTATTGGTGATCCCAGAAACAATCACTCTCTGAAGATTTTTAATGAACTTCAAATTGAAATTGGTTGGTTTACTTAAAAAGCATGATTTTTCAAATTTTTTAGTGTCAGAGCTTGAGATCTAGTCCCCTCAATTTACTCACTTACTGAGTGTCTGCTCTGTGTTGGGCTTTGTGCAACGTTTTGTTTATGCCAGTAAACATACAGACAAAATTCCTCTGCTCATGCTGTTTATGTTTGGTGGTAGCGGGGGGCAAGGCAAGGGTGCACACCAGGCAAAGATTAATTGCAATGAAAAGGGTAATGTTGTAAAAGGATTAAGAGCGTTAGAAGCAGAGCTATTTTGTATAAAGATGTCAAGGTAAATGTCTCTGAGAAAATACTATTTGGGCAGAGATCTGAGGGAAATGAGGAAGACAGCTATGCACGAAGCTGGGGGATAACATTCCAGATAAAAGGGGAAAGCAAATATAGTCCTGAGGTTTATTTTAAGGACAGTAAGTGAGTCTGGTTCTGGAATGTGAGGGAGAGTTGTGGGAGATGAAGTTAGTGAGATGTGCCAGGACCTAGTAGGTTTTTTTTCCAAATGAGATAGGAAATCACTGGCAGGCTTTGTGCAGAAGAGGGGGTTGATTAGACCAACTTTTCAGAGAATCTCTCTAACTTTTGAGTTGATTTGGCATTCAGAAGCCTTCACTCTTAGGCCTCTGTGTGGTTCTCCTTGCAAATGCTCTGCCCTCCAATCCTTCTGTTTTTTATTTAGGTTACTTCTGTCTGGAATACCCAGTTTCTTGTAGAGGGTGTGAACCTCAGTCCACACACAGAGATATGTGAGGAATATAACTGTTTGTTCACAGATGAATTGAGCCCCATTCTTCTGGGTAGTATGAACAATCTGTCAATTCTGTTCTCCTTTGGCCTTATTCTGTGCCTGCACGTAGGTCCTTGGGGACTCTTGTGACAGTGAGCCATCTAGGGAGGTAGGCAAGGGGCCTGTCTCAAGCACACCTGCCTAGACACACACAGATTGTAGCCTTTCTACTCCAGAAACTATTTCTGAAAAGTAGCCATAGGTTCTTACTGACCACAGGTCCCTAAACTTCTGCAGGGGGTTTGTCTATTCTTTCTGGGAGTTGGCATAGTCTCACCTAAGTTCTTCACTCTCTGCTTCCTCTTCATCTCTCCCCTTCTGACCCTACAGGTCTCTAGATCTGTTCTGGCCTAGCATGGGAAGTTTTGCCCTTGCTCAGTATTCTTCCAGGCCTTTGATCTCTTCCTTATCTTCATTATGCTTATAATTGATGTCTTCCCTGGGCAGTGAATGCTGCTCAATCTTGCTATTGCTTGAAAGGGTGGAGACTACAACAGATAAAAAGGAAAACTAGAGGGGAAAAAACCTTGGTTATTTCAGAACATTATTCTGCCACTTACCCTTCTGAATCTGATAAAATCCTGCTTGTCTTTTCAGGCCCATTGTGTTTATCCGCTCCTCTTAGCAACCTGCCCATAGCTACTGATCTCCGTCACCGTAAGAGATAAGCACTTCCTCTTGTGCACTCCCTAGGCATTTTGTTTGTGTCCTCCAGCCTGACCCTTGTTCATTGGTATCATGCCACCTTTTGAATTGTTGTTCCAGACTTTCAATTGTTGGGTCCTTGAGATCACAGGGACCACTACTTCGTAAGGGTTGTTTTGTTTTTGTCTTAGACAGCTAGGCTGCCATAACAAAATTCCACAGACTGTGTAGCTTAAGCAGTAGAAATTTATTTCTCATCGTCCTGGAGGCTGGAAAGTTCAAGAGCAAGGCACTTACAAGGTAGATTTTATTCTGAGTCCTCTTCTTTTGTCTTGTACGTGGCCTCTATCTCATTGTGTATTCACATGACTTCTTCTCTGTGTGTACTTGGAGAAGGAAAGAGAGCAAATTCTCTGCCGTGCCTTACAAGGGCACTAATCCCATGATGAGAGCCCCACCTCCCTAACTTCATCCAACCTCATCTAACTCTAATTACCTCTTAGAAGCCCCATCTCAAAATACCATCGCAATATGGGGGTCAAAGTTTCAACATATGAATTTTGGAATGACACAAATGTTCAATCCATAACAGTTTTGTTTTCTTTTGTTTTGATCTCTGGCATTTATGATGGTGCCAGTTATAATGGAGAACAATAAATGCTTGATCATGAAAATAATAAGCATATTCACCTAGACAAGAAATCTTTCCTGTTCCTGTCAATAAAGTTCAAGGCCCTCCAATAAGAAATTATATTGTTCAGCTCTAATGTTTGTCAAAAAAGAAATTAATACTTTCACATACTCCATAGTTTTGCTTTTAAGCCATTTTGATGTCACAAGAAATATAGAAAATTATATTTGTTAGCAATGAGGCTGCTCATGGCCAGGGGTGAGTAGTTCTAGAGCTTTGCATCTCTCTACTATATTCAATTCCAACTTCCACACCTCCTAAACCCTGACTGGTTCCAGCTGGCTCAGGGGAATAGTTGTAACCTATTTGGTCTAGTTTTGCTTTCTAACATAGAGAATAGAGATTGATTATGCTTTTAAAACTTATGGAAAATCATAGTTATTCAACAGAAAAAGTCTGTTAAAAAAAAAAAATGGGGCAGGCCGGGTGCGGTGGCTCACTCCTGTAATCCCAGTACTTTGGGAGGCCGAGGCGGGTGGATCACGGGGTCAAGAGATCAAGAACATCCTGGTCGACATGGTGAAACCCCGTCTCTACTAAAAATACAAAAAATCAGCTGGGCATGGTGGCGCGTGCCTGTAATCCCAGCTACTCAGGAGGCTGAGGCAGGAGAATTGCCTGAACCCAGGACGCGGAGGTTGCAGTGAGCCGAGATCGCGCCATTGCACTCCAGCCTGGGTAACAAGAGTGAAACTCCGTCTCAAAAAAAAATGGGGCATGTGACTTTCTAATACTGCTTTTGTTGTTGCTGTTTCCTTTTTAAGTTTGTGGGGCCCACAAAATTTATGTCTTTACACCTATACACATAACTCTGGTATGTGTTCAGCACAATTAGGAAAGACAGATGTGTGTCCACATGTCGTATGACCCGAGGCAGTGTTTCTCAGAATGTGGCTTGAAGTCCACCTTGATCATGGTAACCTGGATTGCTTGTTACAAATGAAGTTTTTCCAGCCCAGGCACAGTGACACACACCTGTTGTCCCAGCTACTCAGTAGGCTAAGGCAGGAGGATTGCTTGAGCCTGGTAGTTCAAGGCTGTAGAGTGCTGTGATGGTGCTTGTGAATAATCACTGCACTGTAGCCTGAGCAACATAGTGAGGACTCCACCTCTAAACAAAACAACAAAAAAAGCTTTTCAAAAGTTTTAAAAGAAGACTCTTACATGATGAGGCCTGAAAACCTGCATTTGTAATTACCAGGATGATTTCTGTGTACCCTAGATTTTATGAATCATTGCTCTATGTGGAATAGTAGGCATGTTCTGCAGTATTCTTCCAATCTTCTTGAGTTCTTCTGGGCCAAGATATTTTGGATTATGGATCTAATTTAGTTATTACTGGGTCATTCTATTTTTTTCTGTATATTTCTAACACCATTAATTGTGGTGTTCTCTTTTCTCTCTCAGGCACACACACACGTACATGCACACACACACTCATATTTTATCTGTATATGAAAATATATATACTTATATATCACTTTCAAATTTGTAAATATA